ACTAGACAGTTCACAGAAAAGGAAAGGGAAATGGCCATTCACCATAGAAAAATTGTGCTCAGCCTCATTAATAAGAGAAAATGAAAACCTTTTGGCTTGAGAGAGAAGCACTGTCAGCCCTCAGAGAGGCCAAAGTAAAAGTTGATAAGAGTGACTCCATGCCCGCTAGGTGGGGCCACAGGCCCTATCTCTCAGAGGGCGTCTGGCCACATGACAACGGCATCGCTTTTGATCAAGCAATTCTACTTCTAGGAACTTATCCTACAGACGCATACATATGTGAAATTCAATAAAGCAGAGTTAAGAGATGAGGGCTGGACACAGCCTAGATGTCCGCAGATAGGAGCTGGTTGATGGAATCATGGCCCATTGCAGCAAGGAAATACTAGAGAGGAAAAAAAACAAGGTGCAGAACAGGTGTAGAATATGCTACCATTGGTGAAAAAAAGTAGAAGGGAGGAATGTTACGCAGATTTGCTTATATGTGTGTGTGTGCACAAGATAACTCCGGCAAGTTTGAGATTGCGTTGTATGTGGGGTGGTGCTCTGTGGAGGGAAATGACATGGGGGAGACCTCCCTCTGGGCCCCTTGGAACACTTTAAATTTAAGCCATGCAAATATATCACCTATTCAAAATGGAAACCAATAGAACCTTTTCAAAAGAAAAGAATGAAACTAGGTACACCAGAAACCGGTTGCTAAGGTGGAAGGGAGAGGAGACATCTCGTTTGTAGCTTTTGGACTTCGATCAAATGAGAATGTTGAGTGCAGTCCCTACCATCCCTGATAGGGCTGAGGCTTCAGGAGGGAAGGGAGAGAGCCCATTTCTGACTGATAATCTTTGTCTCTGGACTCCAAACACAGACGTGAGGTGTGCCTGCTCATTTACCAGGGAGGGACCTTTGGGAAACCAGAGCTGGATATCCTGGGCCAGCAGCTGGTGGGTGCACGTGCTGTCAATTTCTCAGCTGGGCCACCACTTCTTGACCCTGGGATTCACACTTGGAGGCCTGGGGTAGGAGGTCTCAGCTGGGAAGAGGGCCTGAGATGGGGGATGCTTTACAGAAACACAGTTTCATGGGGCCAACATTCCTCTCCCCAGAGAGATGAAGGATCAAGGAAAACATCGATGGCCCAGAAACATTGGAAACTTTCTCAGCTCCTGGATCGGCTGACCTATCCCCAGTAACTGATCCTGAGGGTTGGCCCTGCACTGTTTTTTGTTACTGCTTTGAAGGCAGAATGGCCCCATTGCCTGACTGACAGCTCAGGGTGTTGGTGGACCCTTCAGTGTGGGGCTGAGGCAGTCCACCGTGAAAAAGTTTCAGCTGTTTCCCACAGGTCTGCTCGAAGCCCCATCGAGGGCAGTGTGCCACCGAGGCACCCCTCCGGCCTCCCTGCAGGCTAAGAGGGTAACCAATGAGTCCCCTCATATCTGCCCATCACCTGCCATAAGTCAGGGCAGCACAGGGCAGGAACAGCGTTCCACCAAGGAAAGAGGGAGAGGGATTTCACAATTTATCAAGACACAAGTACAAGCCACATGCTCACTCACCGCCACAGGTCTGCCCCTGGATTAATTGTGCCTCTGAGGGCATGAGACCACCTGGCACGCCTGTTACTGCTGAGGGACTGTGATCATACTCAACATATCGGAGTAGGAGAGACATTTGTGAATCCCTTCACTTCACAGATAGGAGAAACTGAGGCCCGGAGAGGGAAGCAGGGCAAGGACTTCACCCCAGCTCTCCTGACAGACACATGATGGGATCTGGAGTCAGGGTACAGGCTAGGGAGGGGCAGAGGGGTCTCTGCAATGAAGGCGTGCCTGGGGTGGGAACAGCTGAAGGGAGTGGGAGGCCAATGCTGGATGCTGGCCCTCAAAGAGTGGACTGGCCTGAGGCCCCAGGCTGAGCACAGCCACCTCTCCACATCCACAGGTTCCTGGGAAGACACAGGAGGAGAAAGCTCAGCAAACAGCAGCTCACAATGGGTCGAAAGTGTGGGCAGGCCGGCTGGAGGAAGTGCATACAGAGCTGGGTGAGGCCTGCTGGTGCCATGCTGGTTCCAATGGCCTGTGAGGACCATAAGCCTGGCTGCCGCCAGCAGGGCCCGCCCAAGGGGAGCTCAGGGCTGTCCTGGAGGCTGGGGCCTCCGTCAGCGGATGGCACAGTATCCCTGGAGCGATGAGGGTGAGCAGGAAGCACCTGTTTTTCTGTTTAACATTGCCAGGTCTGATGGGAGGCACCATTGGGAGATGAGTTTCTGCTGCCATCTCGAAGGCTAGCCATAGCCCACTGGACTGTGGGAAGTAGGGCAGAGAGGACAGGGCATGGCCCTCCTGGTATGTGGGAGTGTGGTGGGCAGGGCCAGAGAGAGGTAGTCCCTGGATGAAGAGATGCCCCTTCTCCCTGGAGTCCAAGAAGCCACACTGCTTGTGGAAGCCCAGCTGACACTCCGCTTGAAGGGGGCCAAGTGTTGCCCTGCTCTCCCAGTTCCTGTAAGCTCCCTTACCCCTATACACAGCACACCACCAGCCCACTGCCTGCCTCCTCGGCCCCAGAGACCCCAGCTTCTGCTGGGAAGACCCACCTGCTCATAGGAAACACAAAACAAGGCCCTGAGTGCAGCTGTATGTGGGGCCTAGGCATGCCTTCATCTGTGAAATGAAGAAGTTGGACTAGAGGCTGTGCCGCCCTGCTCCTTGGTGATGGTGTGTGGGGCAGGCTCCAGAACTGGAGGCTGGCTTGACCAGGGGCTGGAGGCTAGAGCTGGGCTGACCTGAAAGGCGGACAGGCAGGCCCTGCAGGTACAGCAGAAGGACTGTTGTGATTGGGGGTGAGGGTGGGGAACCAGGGGGGCCCAGTGAGGAAAGAGGTTCTGTGCTGGGAACTTGGGGTGGGGTGGTGCGGGCTTAGACAAAGTACAGTCTTAGGTCTTGAGTAGCTGGGGGTGAGGGCACATGGGAGCTGGGGTGGGAGTGGGGGGTGATGGGACAAAGGCCCAACCAGTGGTGGGAGCCCTGTTACATGGCAGGTAACACCCATGAGAAGCACACCCACCAGCAACCAGGGAAGATGAACAGGACCTGCTTGCAGCCGGCCATGCCTCCCCGCCACACACCCCTGCACCACGGGACAGACCGGTCTCCAGGGCCCTTCCACCAAGAATAGAATGATACTGCCTTCCATGGAGCGAGGCCTCAGCTGGGGTGTTTTCAGCTGAGGGACGTTTTAGTCCAGAGACTTTTGTGGAAGAGTGTCTTCCCAAGAGGCGTTGGTGACATCTTTCCAGACACCCCTGAGCTCTATTCTCCTTCCTTCCCAAATGCTACCCTGCTATCCCCACTCCCTTGTGAGTGTGGGGGCAGATACTGGGCCGCAAGGGCTCCCCAGGCCCTGATTAGCAAGCAGGCCAGGGGCCCAAGGGCAGAAGCTGCCAAGAAGGCTAGGCACTCGCCCCTACATGACTGCAGTGAAAGAGAGGGAAGCTTAGTCTCATGCAGAAACTGCCAAGAGACTGGGCCCAGGGCCTAGGACCCATGGAGTCAAGTTGTTCTGGAGATGGCTGTGACAAAGACGAGACTTGTCCTCGGCTCTGAGCTGACCAAAGGGAGCCTCCCAACCTGGCAGGCGTTCACACAAACCCCCACAGGTGAGGCAGCATGGGCCCCCAGCCTCACCTGCAGCCTCTTCACACACTCAGAAGAGCCCCCACTACCACCAGCACCTCATTTGCATGTCAGAAACAGACCACTGCTCCAAAGGCCCAGCCCAGACACCACCCCTTTCCCCAGAGCCTATTCCCAAAAGCACATGCATCTAAATTTCGTGGATGGTCTTGCCTAGATACAGGATGAAGAGCAAGGGGTCCCAGCCAACCTGTGCTCTCCACTGCGGGAGAGCACACCTGGAATGGGGTGCACTTGGTGAGGAGAGCCCCTCTCTGTACAAGCCTTTGGACAGACCTGCCTTCTCCCGCAGGGAAATTGAGGGTTGAGTTGGCCCTCACTATAGGTTAATATCCAGGTGCCATGGCTCTGAGCCCTGATGGGGAACACCCTGAGTGTGGGTGGCCTGCCCTCTTGAAGGAGCTGCTGCTGGGAGCATGCAAGCTCTCACACTGCAGGGCCCTTGGCAACCGGCCTGGGTAAGCACTTGTTGGCTCGAGGCCCGCAAGTGTTGTCCAGGTATAGTCATGCTGGGCGTGGACACTGTGCTCTCAGGGCCAGCACCTTCATTTTCCTGTGGGGTAGGCTTGTCCCCTGAGAACCTTCCACAGCTGTTTTACCACAAACATGAATGGCATCAATGGAAACGTCAAACTTTTCTCAGAAGTGCTGTGGAGGCTTGGGTGCCCAGAGGGAGGCAGAGCAAAGAGCCAGGGGTGTGTGTGTGTGTTGGGGGGTGGGGGGTGGTATAACCAAGGAAGTCTGTATCCTGCACACCTCCCCCACCAACACTTAAAAACTGTCTCAAAGTTCCAGCAAAAACAAAAGGGTTGTCGAGACGGAGAAAATGAGGCTCCACACCCTTTCTCTATCTCAAAGGTCCAGGCCAGAGTTGACCTCCGGCCCCTGATGCCCTCTTCCAGCCAGCGCAGCTCCACCCCTGCACAGCACCTCCCGCGGTGGCCCTGCGATAGGAGGCCATTCAACTCTGGGCTCGTGCCCACAGTCTTGGGCCTGCCCAGAAGGCCCAATGCAAACCTTGACCAGGAGGCTCAAGATTTGGGTTGCATTCCTGGCTCTGTGGCCCCAGGTACCTCTCCCCACTCCCAATAACACCCTGGAATTAAAGGGCTGGGGCTTCTGCTGGGGTCCTGGGAAGGAAAGGATGAACACAAGCGCGCCGGGACAGAAGGTTCGCGGGACAGCCTGGCCCTGCCCTCACTGCCACGTGGGCGAGCTCCGCCCCTAGGCTCGGCCCCCAGGTCACCGTCCAGGCCCTGCCCGATTCCTCCCCAAGCCAATCAAGCCGAGGCAGCATGGACTCTGAACCGTTTATTTCTTCCCACGGGGAGGTGGGCTGACCGGGGCTGGGGAGGGCACCGCCACTGCAGACCGCGGCTGGCCAACGCGGCGCTCAGTTGAAGGTGGAGCTGTTCCAGCCCACGTTGGCCGGGTTCATGTCGTAATAGTTGATGTAAATCCTGTCGGGCGGAAGGCGGGCTCAGCGCTGCGCCCCCGGCCCACCCGCCCGGCCCTCCAGGTCTCCCCGCCCCTCCCCCCCGCATCCCCCCGGAATCACGGCCCTCTCGGCCCCCCCAGATCCCCGCACCTGTCGGGGCTGACGCGCAGGCGTTCGGCCAACAGACCGCACAGCAGCTTGCTGTAAGCGCGGTTCTGCGAGCCGCTGATCTTGCCGATGCTGTGCAGACTGCAAAGCGCGCACGGCTCGCTGGAGCCGCCGAAGGCCATGAGCTGTTCCGGGACCACGTGCACTGCGATGTACTGCGGGGAGGAGAAGTCAGCGGCCGGGCAGCTAGGGGCCCTGGTCACCGTCCTCTCCCCGCCCCAGGCCCCCCGGAACCTCATCCTGGGTCTGCAACCCACCGCCAGGAGCACCCCGCCCGCGGGCACCCCCTCCCGCCCCCACTCGGCAGACCTGGGCTGGCTTGCCAGTGGCCTGCGCCAGCTGCTGGGTGAGCTCGGAGAGGAACCCCTCCGGCACGGAGGCGCGGGGCACGTTGGTGTTCACAACGAACATCGGCATGATGACGGAAAGACAGCGGGGTTGACCAGACTGATGGAGCGACACACGCGGCGACCGTAGCCCCGTAACCTGAGCTACGTGACCGACGCCTAGCCCTGCCCTTGCGAGCTGGTAGTCACGCTACCATGACGTCATCCCGGCGGAGGTCCCACCCCTGCGAGGCCGCGCTTCCGCCTCCCGTGACGTCACCCAGCGATCCCGCCCCTGGTGGCGTCAAGGCGGCGGAGCTTATTCCCGCGCATGGCCCGCCGCTTGCCTCCGCGCGTTCTGCCGGCGGCTGGCTGCCTCCTTCGGCCTTGGGCCAGTGTTATTCCGTCCATCCAGTCGTGTGCTCAGCGACGTTGGTGTGCCAGAGCCCTGCGGTGGCTGGAGAGGGGGCTGTTAGCGGGACAGAGGGCCGTTTGCCCCCGGGGCTCACGGCGTGTGCGTGAGGTCCGAGCCCGTTCCAACGTGCGCCGAGCCTCGAGTTTTGGGACCACACGTCCCCAAGTGCTACCGCCCAGCGCGCGCGCGCATGTGTGTGGGCGGGAGGGGGGTGGGGTGGTCAGCGCAGTTCCCTTGGGGGACTTTCCATTGTTGTAGGGGGAAAAACATCACAAAGTTTAGGGAAGTAAAAAGGAAGTTTTATTTGGCATATATTCAAAAGGACAAAAGTGGGAAGCGGACAAGCATGCTGCCACAGCTTTGTCTGCCCGAGTCCAAAGAATATCAGAATAGGCAAGAATGGGAAAATGGACAAACATGCTGCCACAGCCATGTCTGCCCGAGTCCAAGGAAGATTACAGAATCATCAGTATATATCAACATCACAAAATGGGTAGAATCATTGAAAGCGTCACTTTTTCACTGATTGGCTAGAAATTGTAATCTTACATTTTGAATCATCTTTCTTAAGAATCATTGGTACGGGTTTCAGTTACGAAAGTCAGGAGGGTCTTCACTGGTCCGACAAATTCCTATTCACTAAATGTTAATAGAAAAAGACAAGGTGAGAAGTCCTTTGGGTTAGGTTTTATTGCCCTTTTGTGAAAACTTCCTTAAAGTAATTTCTGAGATTGTCCCATCTGTTGTCTTATCTCAGGGCCCAGTTGATGTGTCTTTCTGAGTCTGTGAGGGCCCAGCCCCACCTGGGTCACAATTCTCCATGCTCAAGGAGAGGGAATAATGACTCCAATATTATTTCCTAAATCACCATGTCTCTGCTGCTCACAGGGGAGCGCCCGGTGGGTGTGGGCGCACCTAAGGAGACTTGGAATAAATACTGGCTGAATGAATGGATGGGTGAATGGGGATAGTTGGGCACTTCAGGAAGAGAAGCCAGCGCCTGGATTAGGACCCTCGCCATGTGCAGGACCTGGTCAGCCTGTGGGCCCTGCCACTACTGGGCAGAGCCTGTGGCCAAGGGGCCACCTCCATCCATGGACCCAGGACCATGTTTGCCTCTGCCTCACTCTGGCCCCACAGTCTCTTCTGGGCACCGTCACCCTGCCACACCCATGGCAGTCCTCGTTCTGGCCCCAGTCCAGGGCACTCCTCTGAGCTCCAGTGTCTTCTGCTCAGTACTCCAAGCCCAAATGCAAGGCTTTTCCTCCCAAACCCCACGGTCCCCTTGTGAAGCCCTCACTTCTCCCCATCCCCAACCACCCTCCACCACCACCACTTTCTTTCTCTTTTTTATTGTGCTTTAAGTGAGTTTACAATTCAAGTTAGTTTCTCATACAAAAATTTATACACACATCGTTATGTAACCCTAGTTGCTCTCCCTATACTGTGACAGCACACTCCTCCTTTCCACCCTGGATATCCCGCGTCCATTTAACCAGCTCCTAACCCTCTCTGCGTTTTCATTTCACCTCCCAACAGGAACTTTCCATTTAGTCTCATGTATCTACTTGAGCTAAGAAGCACACTCTTCATGAGTATCATTTTATCTCCCATAGTCCAGTCTAATCTTTGTCTGAAGAGCTGGCCTTGGGAATGGTTTTAGTTCTGGTTTGACAGAGAGTCCGGGGTCCATGTCTTCCGGGATCCCTCCAGTCTCAGTCAAACAATTAAGTCTGGTCTTTTTATGTGATTTTGAGTTCTGTACCTCACTTTTCTCCTGCTCCATCAGGGACTCTCTGTTGTGTTCCCTGTCAGGGCAGTCGTTGGTGGTAGCTGGGCACCATCTAGTTCTTCTGGTCTCAGGCTGATGGAGTCTCTGGTTTATGTGGCCCTTTCTGTCTCTTGGGCTAATATTTTCCTGGTGTCTTTGGTGTTCTTCATTCTCCTTTGCTCCAGGTGTGTTGGGACCAACTGATGCATCTTAGACGGCCGCTTGCTAGCTTTTAAGACCCCAGATGCCACTCACCAAAGTAGGATGCAGAACATTTTCTTAATAAACTTTATTATGCCAGTTGACCTAGATATCCCCTTAAATCATGGTCCCCAGACCCCCGCCCCTGCTACTCTGTCCCTTGAAGTGCTTGGTTGTATTCAGGAAACTTCTTAGCTTTTGGTTTAGTCCAGTTGTGCTGACTTCCCCTGTAGTGTGTGTTGTCCTTTAAGATAATTCTTGTTTACTATCTAGTTAGTGAATACCCCTCTCCCTCCCTCTCCACCCTCATAACCATCAAAGAATGTTTTCTTCTGTTTTTAAATCTTTTCTTGAGTTCTTATAATAGTGGTCTTATACAATATTTGTCCTTTTGCAACTGTCTAAATTCACTCAGCATAATGCCTTCCAGATTTCTCCATGTTATGTTTCACGGATTCATCGTTGTTCTTTATCGTTGCGTACTATTCCATTGTGTTAATATACCATAATTTATTTATTCATTCATCTGTTGATGGGCACCTAGGTTGTTTCCAACTTTCTGCCATCGTGAACAGTGCTGCAATGAATGTGGGTGTGCATATATCTATTCATGTGACATCTATTATTTCTCTAGGATATATTCCAAGGAGTGGGATTGCTGGATCATATGGTACTTCTATTTCTAGCTTTTTAAGGAAGTGCCAAATCGATTTCCAAAGTGGTTGTTCCATTTTACATTCCCACCAACAGTGTATAAGTGTTCCAGTCTCTCCACAACCTCTCCAGCATTTATTATTTTGTGTTTTTGGGATTAATGCTAGTCTTGTTGGGGTGAGATGGTATCTCATTGTAGTTTTGATTTGCATTTCTGTAATGGCTAAAGATAGTGAGCATTTCCTCATGCATCACCACCACGTTCGTCTAAGCTAGCGGTCATCACTTTTGCCTGGACTGCTTCTCCAGGTGGGAGGTGTCCATGTCCCTGCCAGCAGATCTGGCCATATGACTTGCTTTGCCCAGTGACACGTGAGCAAAAAGGATGTGGACAACTCCAGGCAGAAGGTTCAAGACCCAGGCCTGGTTGGCCGCATTCTCCTCTGTGACGGTGGAGGTGGATGATTGGGAGGAGCCTCGTTGGCTGAACAGCTACCCTGCCAACCACGGCACACATGCCATGGTAAGCCACTGCGGTTTTCAGGGTGTCCCTGAAGCATGAGGGAGCCCTCCCTGGCCAGGACAGCCCCTGTGCGATTTGTCATTTACTCTGACCCTCCCCCAACTGATTTCCACAAAGCAGTCACTGCAGAGTTTCCAGAAGGGCACACCCAGCCTCACCTCTCACTAGCTTGGACACTTGGCTAACCCCTCTGAGCCTCAGTTTCCCCATGTGTAATATCGGGATGACGATAATGTCCACCAGATAACAATCGTGTCCTCTGGTGGCAGTGGTCCCTGCCAGCCACCCCTATCTTGCACAGCCCCCCTTGTTCTCTGTGCCGGGGCACGCTGCCCTACAGTGCCGAGCTCCTGGCTGTTTGCCTACACTTTTCCTTGTCTGACTCCAGCCCATATTCCAGACCTCTACGTGGCCATTTGTTCCTCAGGGAGCCACCCAGAGCCCCTGGCTGCTGAGGTCGGATAATGTATCCAGTGCTAGTCCTGTGCTTCCCACCGCTGTGCACTAACAATTTCAACCAGCTTTATGCTCCCAACATTCTGAGCTTAGCTTCTGGGGCTCAGCCTGTATAGTGGGCCCTGCCCTTTGCCCAGTTCCAGGCCCCCCAGTGCACTGAAGTCAACACCATTTGGTCCCCTTTGGTGGTCCCGTTGGGCACTTGTGCCACTTTCCCCCAGGCACCAGCTTTAAAAGAATAACTAGCCAACCACAGACTAATGCAGCTAAATGCTTGCCCCCATCCTGAAACCCCAGTAGAGGCAGCTGCTTACAGTTCCTCAGCCTCTCTCTTGCTTTCCCTGTTGCAGTTGTCCTTCATGCAGTCCTGTTGCCGGTGGCCTTGCGTGACGTGCTGGGTAGCCTCTGAAAACTGTGATGTCTAATACATTTAGTTACTTTTGTGTCTTCCCTCTCTCCTCCCTCTCATGTTGCCCCTAACTGACCATCCCACGAGATTGTTAGGATAAGCTGTGACCCTACTTCTGTTGTTGTTGTTGTTAGGTGCCGTCGAGTTGGTTCCAACTCATAGCGACCCTGTGTACAACAGAATGAAATACTGCTTGGTCCTGCATCGTCCTCACAATCGTTGCTATGTTTGAGCTCATTGTAGCTACTGTGTCAATCTGTCTTGTTGAGGGTCTTCCTCTTTTTTCCTGACCCTCTACTTTACCAAGCATGGTGTCCTTCTTCAGGGACTGGCCCCTCCTGATAAAATGTCCAAAGTTCGTGAGACGAAGTCTCACCATCCTCGCTTCTAAGGTGCATTCTGGATGTCCTTCTTCCATACCATATTTCTACTTGTGGGCTACTGATTCCTGTCCAAGCAGGAAGCACCTTAAGGATGGGGACTGTCTCTTTGGCCACCACTGTATGCCAACCTCCTGAGCCATCACCTCAGGGGGTAGGCAGAATGGCTCTCCCAGAGATCTGTACCCTAGCCCTGTGAATATGTTATGTTATATGGCAAAAGGGATATTGCAGATGTCATTAGGGTTACAGCCCTTAAAATAGGGAGATTATCCTGGATTATCTGGGTGGGCTCAGTCTAACCACGTGCATTCTTAAAAGCAGAGAACTTTCTCCAGAGTCAGAGACACCAAGAGGGGAAGTGGGACTCACAACAGAAGAG